GGTCGTAGGTCCGCGCCACCGGATCGTAGTTCTCGTACTGGCTGACGAAGGGCGCCTGCGGGTAGGGGAACTGCTGTGGGAAGGAGGGCGGCTGGCGGTAGGTGGTGGCGAAGGCCGAGGCCGAGACTGAGGAGGTGGAGCCCCCGTGCTGGGAGACCGAGGTGCGGGCCCGGGCCATGCCCGTGCTGTCCCCGACGGCCACCTCGCGCCAGTTGTCGGGCACTTGGCCGAAGCCGAACGGGTGCCGCGCTTGGCCGCGCACAGTGTCTGAGCCGACGCGCCCGGGCAGGGGCAGGGGCAGGGAAGGGGCCTGCCGCCGCCGGGGCCCTCCTTGGCTGCGCCGCCGCGGGGTCTGGGGGGCGCCCGCCAACAGCACCCGGGAGCTACCCTCCGCGCGCTGGGCCCCGGCGGGCACGTACTCGGAGCCCGAGTTGAGCAGGCTGTACACCTGCCCGTTATTCTCCCACTGGATCAGCTGCCGCCAGCGCCCTGGGTCCGAGCCCTGCCCCGGCTGGGCCTGTTGCCCATGCACCAGGACACAGAGGCAGGCGCCCCACACCAGGGCCCCTAGCTGCCAGCCGGCTGGGGCCAGAGCCATGGTGGCCCCTCTGCAGAGGCCTGGGGAACCGAAAGGCTCTCAGGAGTGGCCCCCTGTGCGTGCTTCTCTTCCTACGGCCTCGAGGACAGGATGGCTCCTTGCCTGCCCCAGCTCTAGCTTTGTCCATCCTGGCCTTGGTCCGAGCGGGACGGCTCCTCCGACGACAGCATTTCGAGGCCAAGGGGTCAGGGCAGGGCAGGGGCGGTGCCCAGGGTTGCAAGAGGCTCTCTGCAGGGTACCAGGCAGGATCGCTTGGGAGCCTTACTGGGGTAGCCCAGCACAGGCGGGCCGCAGGGCTGGCGCTTTCCCACTCTGAATGAATAAGCAACAAGCTGGGAGCATTGCAAGGTTTCGGGCAGCTTGGTCCGCCTGCTGGGGTCTCCTCCGCAGGGCCCTATGGCCCGCCGGGTTTTAGCTATGTGGTCTGTCCCACAGCTGCTGTGCTCCCTCAGTCCCTGGAGCTCCCAGCCAAGCCGCAGACCTTCCTCTGAGAAGGGAACGAAGCAGGGTGTAGGAGAGGGCCTCTGGGGACTCAAACCTGGCAAGTGGGGCCCAGGCTGGTAGAACAGAGCTGGGGGGTCAGCACCACTCTGGCCATTTCTCTCCACCTTGGACTGAGACTCCGTGGTCTCGACCTTACTTACTGCTTGTGTGGGCTTGAATGAGCCCTTGACTTTTGCCCACTCCAGTCTCTCCTCAGGACCCCTGGGCTCCTATTCCCCAAAGCTAGTGCTAAGAGACACCCTCCTTGTAGATGGGCCTCCTTGAGGAGATTCTTAAACCCAGCTGAACCACCCTCTAATTCTGGACCCCAGGTACACCTTAGTTCCTTGACCCTGAGTACAAGGATCTGAAGCTTCAGCTCCTTCTCTCTTGGTGTACCTCTGGGCCTTACTCTCTTGGTCTATAGAATGGGCGTATGCCCCTGTGCTGAATAGAACTTGCAAAATCGTGAGAGGGATCAACTTCTCACACGTTATGCGTAGTTTCTGTTTTTGAGTCGACATAGCCTGAAAATATCCTGAGTGTGCACATGGATAAAATGAAACCCAGGGCTGTCTGATACAGGATGGGGTCGTTGGGAGCAGTGCCCACTCTAAGAATAGAACAGCAAAAAGGGGGATTCAGGAGAATGGGCCTAGTCCTGTTACTGTGATTAAGTTGCTAGGTGATCTTGGGTAAGTCCCTTCCATCTCTGATCCAGTTGCCCCATCTGATCAATGGAAGATTAGACCACATGGTTCCCAAGAATGCTTCGGGAGGTTCTCTGTTCTATTTGGGGACAGCAGAGATAGGAGGGATCCCAGAAGTTTGAATACTTTGGTGTCCAAGAAATCACAGTCTGCATGCCTTCTCCAACCTTGCTTCTGGGAACTGGAGAGCAGAAATCCCTCTTCGGTGCTTATAATCCAGGTAGGAAGACCTTACCCTTAACCTAGCCCCTATAGACTGCCCTTCTACTTTGGGAACTCCTGGAGCCCACCTTGGGAGGAGACAAGCAGAGTGGACATTCCAGAGGGGACCCTGGACCCCTGCCCCCCAGCCAGCATTTGTTCATCCATCACACTGTGCTTTCAGAAGAGGCCTGGTTCAGGTGACTTGGGGCATCTGCCTACCCTTTAAATGCTCATAACCCAGGCAGCCAACCATTCAACAATGCCCCCTCAGCTCCCTAGTGTGGGGTTTGGTTTCACACTCCAGGCAAGATTTCTGCAAGGAATGACTGGTTTGGCTCTGGACACCAAGCTGAATTCAGAGCTAGCTAACCCAGGGCTGGGACTTGGAGGGTTAAGCCTTCTTTCCCTCCTGCCTGCCCCCCTGCAGTGCGGCTCTCAGCTGCTTGGGATCCCTGGGGTCCTGTAGGGCCCTCCTGCCAGCCAGATGGGTAGCAGCGCCAGGAAAGGAGGAGGTGAAGTGGAAACAGGCCTCAGGGTAACCCCAGGCAGAAGGGAAAGGGAAGAGGAGGAATGGAGGGAGGAGGATGCAGGTAGGGGAGCCCCACTGGCTTAGAGTGGAGGAGGCAGAACCCCTCTTCTCAAGCCAGGCAAGGGGCAGGGGCTGCCTCAGGGCTTTTGAGCAGTGGAGAGAGCAAGGCACGGGCCGTGGTGCTCAGCCACCCTCTAACTGGGAGCCAGCTCTTGGCATGAAACCCTACCCCGATGCTGGCTCCTGCTCCTCTTTCTTTTTTCTTAATAAGGTCGAATCAGAGTGAGTCAGAGAAGCCAAGTTTCCTGTTAGGCTCTGTTTGAATAAACTGCTCTGAACATAGTTTGGGCCTCTGCACAGGCTCCCAGGGCCAGGGCTGCAGCCCTGCCAGCTCCCTGCTAAGACTGGAAACTCGGGGTCCCCAGGATGACTGAGCCGGGGTCCTTGTCTTGCCCCTGCCACTACCCAGAAAAACCAGTTAAGCTGTCAGAGCTTCAGAGTCTTCATTTATAACCGGAGAGTAATATCTTCCTTATAGCATATTTGGGAGAATGAAATGAGAGGATTACGATGAAAAGTACCCAGCACAGTGCCAGGCATGTGGCCACTATTTTCTTTCTTTCCTCTGGACTGGTGAGAGAAGGGAGGGGTTCATCTCCCAAGGGTATCTCCCCACCCTCCATTTTCCCTGTCCCTTTCCTGTTTTTACCTGTCTTCAGCACCCTTCCTTGCCCAGGGTGAACCTCTTGCAAGGCAGGATACCAACCCAGGGTCTTGTCTTCTCCCCCCTTCTCCATTCCCTCCCTCTCACCTCCTTCTTCCTATAGTCTGTGTCTCCCAAAGTGACTGACAGGACCCAGCAGCTCTGTGAGCCCAGGGGAGCCTATGTGATTCCACCTCTCCGCACAGGGAATGGTGTGGCTGGAGGTATCCTGGCATTGTTTGATTGACACCTACAGAGTGGGAGCCTGAGAGAGACCTGGGCAGGCTGTAGAGGGTGCAAAGCTTGGGTCAAATTAGGGCTTTTATCACCAGGCTGGGTTGGATCTGACCTATCTGGAGGTGAGGTGGGTGGGCAGCTTCTCTGGCAGCCTTGTGCTTACAGGCCAGTACTCACATCCACATTTTTAAGACTCAGCTATGTGGTTAAAGGCTTGCTGCCAGTCCCTGGCACTAGGAACCAGTCTCAAGGGACCTCAGAGGGCCAGTGATATAGGGTTGAAAGAGCTTATGGATTGTACTTGACTCTATTAAGCACCTACTGTGTACTTACTTCTTGGCTAGGCTGCTCTGTTGCTGGGGCTCCCATGCAGTGGCCAGCATCCCTTGCCCTTGCGATGGAACTCTAGGCTCTGCAAGGAGGCATCAGGCCTGACCAGCAGAGGGCTGGGGAGCAGAGAAGGGACAGGAGTCATGGCATACCTCACGGCTTTGCAGAGGTATGCACCAGGAGGCCCACTGTGGGTCAGAATATTTCTTGGTTGGGGAGAATGAGCGAGGCGGGCTCTGGTGCCCTTGCCTTCCACACTGGGCAGGGCTAGGCCTCCCCACTCTTCCATGATCACTGACTGCTGAGGCCAGGCCTTGGCACCTGGGTGGGCGACTCAGGAAAGGCCGCAGATAGGATTTGTGCTGAATGCGGAATGGAAGACCCAGCCGCTGCCTCTGGAAAGTGGGCTGGAGGAAGTGCTGAGTGAGGAGGCCTGGCAGTTGGCACAGAACCCGCTGACTCGGCAGGGAGAGGACCACCGAGTGACCACTGCCAGCTGGGCCCCATGTTTACCCCTCCCCCGCAGCCACATCTGGCACAATAATGGAGGAGGCAGTGGTCCTCTAGAGCCCAGGCAGCCTGGAGGGGCCTGTGGAGGGGGCTGGGGCCCTTTGGCTTGAAATTGTCTCTTCAGGGGTGGAACTGCAGAGAAGCCCGGAAGTGGGGGAGGTGAGGTCAGAGACAGATGGGGTGAGTGGGGGAGGGAAGGAACCCACCCTTCTCTAGGACCCAGGGGAATTCAGTGGCTCTGGCCACCTCCCACTCTGTTCTCTCTCCCAGGGAGGGCCTCTCTGGGCCCCTCCCCCAGGGTTCTTGGAAATTGGATATATCGGTGCTGATATAGCAGTTTGGGCTTCAAGGCAAGGCTCCATGGAGGCGGCAAGCCCCCTTGGACCCCTCCGCCCCCAGCCCGGTCAGCTTCTCCCCTTCCTGCTTTTCTCCCTCTTCCAAGAGGCAGGCAGTGCTCTGGGACCTAATTAATGGTTCATTCCCCTTCCTATCCCCACCCGCTCCAGCCCCTGGGAGCTGGTAGAGGCAGGGGAGGGTCAACATTGCAAGATGGAGGAGAGGAGATCTCTTCCTAGGATTTCCTTGGTGGAAGGATTTGGCAGAAGCTGTTGGTTGGCTGCTGGGTGGGAGAGCCCCTTATGTCATGCAGTGGGGAGGAGGTAATGGAGTACCCTGCCCAAAGGAGAGGGCTGGCAAGACCAAGCAGGGTGCACAGTCCTTTAGGCTGCAGCTCAACTGACCGTGGAGAACTAGCAGGGAAACTGAGGCAGGAACCTGCTGGTTCTGATTCATAACGCCCTCACAAGGCTAAGGGAAGGCTTTTCTCTCTATTTCGCCCTCAACGCCCTCTCTGCTTTCTTGCCTTTGTATCTTTAACTGTCTCTCTGGGTCTCTCTGACTCTCTCCGGGACTCTCTAGCTTTCTTTGTTTCTGTTTTCAGTACTCTTCCCCATCTTTTCCTTCCTTCCTTCCCTCCTTCCTTCCCTCCTTCCTTCCTTCCTTCCTTCCTTCCTTCCTTCCTTCCTTC